AAAAAAAAAAAAAAAAGTGGACCTACAGCATTTCTAGTTGAGGACCACTGGTGTAGAGGTACTGGGTTCAATTCCTGCTCTGGCCTCCCTTTGTGGAGTTTGCATGTTCTCCCCGGACCTGCGTGGGTTTTCTCCGGGTACTCCGGTTTCCTCCCACATTCCAAAAACATACATGGCAGGTTAATGGAACACTCTAAATTGTCCCCAGATGTGAGTGCGAGCCCGAATGGTTGTTCGTCTATGTGTGCCCTGTGATTGGCTGGCAACCGGTTCAGGGTGTCCCCCGCCTACTGCCCGAAGACAGCTGGGATAGGCTCCAGCACCCCCCGCGACCCTTGTGAGGATAAAGCGGATCGGAAAATGAATGAATGAATGAATGACATTAACAACACAAAACAGGGCACTTTGATTGCAAAATAAGTTTATTGCAAGAAAAACGCTGCACTGATGCGTGAACATTGCATGAACTTTGCATGAACTTTGCATGAACTTTTATGAACGGTTAACTTTGGAGGGGTGTTTGTGTGCATGTGTGCGCTTGTTTGTCAAGGATGATGATGGGACTTTGTCATCTTTTTTGATTTGAAAAAGCTCTGTTGTAGAGTTAGCTGCCGGTACTTTGACGTTTTGGCATTAAATGTGTTTTGAATTTCCTTAAAAATTTGGTGTTGCCTTGAAAACAAAAGATGCTGTAACTTTTAAGCTGCTGTAACTTGACCCACATTGTCATATATTGTCAATATTTTATTTACATTTATTATGAGTCGAAGTTTGTGACGTTTCGCAAAAAGCTGTTGCCATGGCAAAGCACTGTTTGCCAAGATATATCTGGACTCTGACTGCTACTTACCTCGTTGGATTATGGACTTTGCTTGGTGTGATGCTCAAGTGTTATTTTCTCGACCTCATGTTCACGTTCCGAGTCGCTCTTGTTCCGATCGATTATTTTGTGCAAGTATTCTGGTTTTCCTGTCATTCTCGGCTGATTTAAGTTTCGTGTGTTTTGACTTTTGCCATTTCATTTTGTGTATTTTCGTGTGTCAAATTTACCTTGCCTTGAGCATGTGTTTTATGTTAATATTTGGTTTTCCTGGCTCTTTGTTGCCAGCGATTTCTGTTTACACTTTGTTGGTCCTTTGTTTTTCTGTAAATAAATATTTTTTTATCGTAGTTTGTCTGAGCTTGTGTTTGTGGGATCCACACACCATCTGGTTCGTTTCCAAACCTCGTCAGAACAGTGATGTTTGTGCCAATGCACCAAACGGCACCTCACAGTACTCACTCTTTTTGGAATTCTTGGAGGGTGTGCTGGAGAGCACTCCCGCTGGGGACTCCCTTGTTCTGCTAGGGGACTTGAATGCTCATATGGGCAATGACAGTGAGGCCTGGAAGTGTGTGATTGGGAGGAACGGCCACCTCCAATCAGAACGTGAGTGGTGTTTTGTTACTGGACTTCTGTGCTCATCACGGATTGTCCATAACGAACACCATGTTCAAACATAAGGGTGTCCATATGTGCCGTTGTCACCAGGACACCCTAAGTCACGGTTTGATGATTGAGTCGTATCATCGGATTTGCGGACCGTATGTATAGGATACTCGGGTGAAGAGAGGGGTGGAGCTGTCAACTGATCACAACCCGGTGGTGAGTTGGCTCTGATAGTGGAGGAAAATGCCGGTCCAACCTGGCAGACCCAAATGTATTGTGAGGGTTTTTTGAGAGCATCTGGCAGAATCCAATGTCAGAAGGAGTTTCAACTCCTACCTCCAGCAGCGCTTTTCCCACGTCCTGAAGGAGGCGGGGGAATATTGAGTCCGAGTGGACCAAGTTCCACGCCTCTATTGTTGAGGCGGCCAATCGGAATTGTGGCCATTAAGTGGTCGGTGCCCATCTTGGCGGCAACCCCCAAACTCGCTGGTGGACACCTGCATTAAGGGATGCCGTCAAGCTGAAGGTGGAGTCCTATCAGGCTTTTATGGCCTGTGGGACTCCAGAGGCAGCTGATGGGTACTGGCTGGCCAAGTGGAAAGCAGCTTCAGCGGTCATCGAAGCAAAAATTCAGGCATGGGAAGAGTTCGGTGAGGCCATGGAAGCCGACTTCTGGATGGCTTCGAGGAAATTCTGGGGTACAATCCGACGTCTCAGGATGGGGAATCTGTCAGAGCTGCTGACCTCCACTCGGAACGTTTTGAGGCGGTGGGCAGAGTACTTCGAAAAGAACTCCTCAACTACACCAACACACCTTCCTTAGAGGAAGCAGTGTGAGGACTCTGAGGTGGGCTCTCCTATCTCTGAGGTTGAAGTCACTGACGTGATTAAAAAGCTCCTCTATGGCAAAGCCCCAGGGGTGGATGAGATCCACCCAGAGTTCCTCAAGGCTATGGATTTTGTTGGGTTTCCCTGGTTGACACGCCTCTGTAACATACCATGGTCATCGAGTGCCTCTGGATTGGCAGACCGGGGTGATGGTCCCTCTTTTAAAGAAGTGGTACCGGAGGGTGTGTTCCAACGACAGAGGGATCACACTCCTCAGCCTCCCTGGTTTATTCAGGGGTGCTGGAGAGGAGGGTCAGTTGGGAAGTCAAGTCTCAGATTCAGGAGGAGCAGTGTGTTTTTAGTCCCGGCCGTTTAACAGTGGACCAGGGTCAGTCGGGAAGTCAAGTCTCAGATTCAGGAGGAGCAGTGTGTTTTTAGTCCCGGCCGTAGAACAGTGGACCAGCTCTACACCCTTCGCAGGGTCCTCGAGGATACATGGGAGCTCGCCCAACCAGTCTACATGTGCTTTATGGACTTGGAGAAAGCATTCGACTGTGTCGCTTGGGGAGTTCTTTGGAGAGTCAGCAGGAGGCCGCGGGGACAACCCAGGACCCGCTGGAGAGACTCTCTCCTAGCTGGCCTGGGAACACCGGTAAGAGCTGGTAGCAGTAGCTGGGGAGAGGGAAGTCTGGGCTTCTCTGCTCAAGCTGTTTCCCCCGCGACCCGACCCTAAATAAGCGGTAGAAATAGATGGATGGATGAATGGAAAAATTACAGCTTGTTAGAAAAAACTTGCTATGACAACAGAGGCACCTTATTTTACAATGGGGTATTCTGCTATCGTCACTGTAAAGTTGAATTAAAACCATCCTTTAAATGACAAAACACAACAAAAAAAACACGAAAGCTTTTCCTCCCTCAAATTTATTCTCATTGAAATAGATTTTTAAAATCTGAAGTCAAAGGCTCATCAAATAAACTGTATGGTATGTTATAGTACAAATTCACAAACCAATACATATACATTACAACTTATTAGAACGATGTATGTGAATTTATGATAAATATCAATAAAACAGTTTTAAAAAACTAAACAACATAAGCATGTTAATATGCGCATGGCCAACATAGTAATTGGGCTCCAGTACAAGCAATAATTGTTATTTTTATTTCTAAGTCAGCATGTAAGATTATATCAAATTGCAAACAAAAGAGATTTTTTTTTATATAAAATGAAAAGTACACCAAATAGGGTCTGGTTTCATCCTTTTCAGATGCTAAATAGATGCTGTTTTGTGCCTAATGGTGATAGTACCTGTGGAGAGCAGGACTGCTGGGATGACTTTGTCTTAAATGGAAAAAGTACTCATCGGGGCAACTTGCTGTATAACCACAATCTTCGCACACAAAGATCTTCGAACGCCTCTGGCGGTAAGCATACTGCTGGTGAATGCCATGAATCTTCCTCATATGGGACTCCAGAGAGCAACGTTGTGTGAATGCCTTCTCACAAAGGTCACACTTGTAGGGGCGTATACCTGCAGTAAAGGCAAAGTCATGCTTTTATTTCCATGGTCATGTTTGTGAAGAATGTGTTTAGTGTTGCACAAATGAGTGAATGACTATATTTTTGACAAAATTTTCAAACACTGCTTATTAAGTCTTGAAGATTCAGGTTAAGAAAAGTATTTGATATTTCCTTTCGCCCAGGCAAGTCCAGGTCCAGTCCTCAAGGGCCGCTGTCCTGCCTGTTTTACATCTCTCTCTGCTGCAACACACTCGATTCAAATCATCAGCTTTTCAGCCACCCTGTAGCAGCACGAGTACGATCTGGGAGAGATGGAAAACAGGCAGGACAGCAACCCTCAATGATCCAGTTTGGACACCCATGCTTTAGGCAGTCATAACAAACATCAACAGTTTTAAAAATGAAAACCTCTTTCAAATGGTTGAGCTTTTCACTCACAGAAAAAGAGCATAATGGCCAAAGACGAAATGCACAGCTCTAAGGTTTGGGGACATTGGATTGACTGCATCTGCGTTTTTTTTTTTGTTTTTGCATTTTCTCATTGCTGTTTTTTTAATGCATGGAAATATTGCAGAAAATATGAAAGATTACTACGGTGACTATCTATATACAGAGTGAGCCAAAATAATGTACATATGCATCAGTAAACATAAAACTTACATCAATATTTTAAAGCGCAAATTTACTCTGATATCACAAAATAGATACAAGGTACCGCTGGCCAGTACAATTACAGGAGACGCTCAAAACGATGGCCATTCATTTCCAGACAATCACGTGCTCAGAGAACTACTGCTTAGGAAACGTCCAACGTGTCAAGTGGGATTGCTGTCCATTCATTTTGACTTTCTTGTCTCAGCACCACCAATGCACCAACATACTGTAATACATTGGCAGGAAGGGTCAGGGACTACATTAGTGGCACTTGGTCATTTTGAACATTGGAATGAGAGGTTGCCTGTCAAGTAAGCATGACATTTTCATTATTCAAAGATCTGTGTATTTTGGATATGGAGCAAAGAATATTTTGTCATTGGTAGAAAGTTCCAAATGGCTCATCTCAATTGAGGTATTTGTAGCTCTTTGCTCCTTCAAACATTGTAAGCGACCCAGAGGGTGTTCTCATGCTTCCATATTGAGCAGTGTCTCAATTGTCTGGAATGTGCATCAAGATACGAGGATTGCACATCAATGAGGCTCACATGGGCGAGCTTACATCGACAGACATCGACCCACTTTTCTCCAGATTATCACTACGTTTCTCCATTTTCTGTTATCTCTACATTATTTTCTTCTCTTTTCCTTCTTACCGCTATTTTTTATTTTTCTTCTTCGTGCTACCGCTATTTTTATTTTTATTATTCGTGGCAGAGGCTCACTTTGGCCTGGGGAGTCAAGTTCAGCATTCGCTTCATTGATATCTGGCGCCATCTAGCGTCGTGAATGGGGATAATGTCTAGACCCCGAATATAAGAGGACCCCCACTTTTTCAGTCTTACAGTGAAACTCCTCTACAACGAAATCATGTTTGCAGCAAGAAATTTTTCACAACAGGGGTTTTTTCACTGTAGCAAATTTGATCTCAGATGTAAGCACACACACACACACACACACACACACACACACACACACACACACACACACAAACGTATGTGTACACGCACACACAAACGTAAGTGTACTCTATTTTTATTCCAATAGTGCATAAGTATGAGCGCACACTTATTTGACACTTCATATTGTCAGTGTAGAAAGAAAAAAAGGGAAAGAAATTGCGAAATTTACGATCAGCATTCACTTTCACTTACATCAGTTTCTTGCATAGTGTCTTTTATTTTGCTTGCTCAGTCTTTCATTTTGATCACTTTTGCCCTCTCTTCAGGCATCAGAGCTCTTCTTATCTTAGCTGCTTGACATCCAAAGGTCCGTTTTGTAGCCATTTTAGCAATGCAACGTCCATGCTCGTCTGAATCTAACAATAACAAATACTTACTGGACCCGTTGGCTTTTCTTTCCACCAGCTCAATGTCTCTAACTCGACCGACCCTCGATCGCCACCCAAGACAGCGTTGCTCAGCTGATGTCATGCAATGAACTTTTAAGCCAGCCACGGGACACTTCGTAGTCCTCGATGGCCATAGTTAGCTCTCCTCTCGAAGGCTAAAAACCTTACGCTAACTGGAGCGCTTCTCTCTCATTAGTGCTCCAATTAGCGTAAGGTTTTTAGCATGATAAGTAAAGCATTTTCGAGGAAAATGCTTTACTTATAATAAGACTTTAATACGACTTTACTTGTAATACGAGGAAACGTTCGTTTATTTGAATGTCCGTCGAGCCATAAGCAATTTACTCTGAGCAGCTAATCGGATGCATTCCGATTGAAATCATTGAAAGAATGAAATGGAACATCTTATCAGGGTCACCCATTGCTTGTGGTCCTCCAATAGACAACATTTCATTCATGATCGAAGCTGCTGGACACAATGATGGCCACAGGACACCAAACAATGTAGGCACTACATGCTGTTTTATAACTGTTAAAATTTAATTTTGTGGGCAAAATGTGACACCTTAATAAACATTTTTGGGATTTGTCTCAGAGGCAACCTCATGGTAACATCCCTCCATCCAGCGCTAATGAGAGAGAAGCGCTCCAGTTAGCGTAAGGTTTTTAGCCTTCAAGAGCTAACTATGGCCATTGAGGACTTCGAAGCGTCCCGTGGGTGTTTTTAGCATGACAACAAGTAAAGCATTCGAGGAAACGTTTGTTTATTTGAATGTCCGTCGAGCCATAAGCAATTTACTCTGAGCAGCTAATCGGATGCTACGGATCTAGCTTCAGTATCTGTTGGATTAGACTTTGTTGTAGTGAATGTCTTCGCGAGGCTGGAGCATAGAAAATGATTTCGTATAACGCAACAGGGGTTTTTTTCGTCGTATGGGGGGCAGTAGAATGGGAATGGTGTTAATGCATAAAGATTTTTTTCACATTAGGGGGTATTTTCGCCCATGTAGGTTTCGTTCTAGAGGAGTTTCACTGTATTTCAATGCAAAAAACACCGTATTATATTCAGGCCAATACGGTAATTTCTTTAAATTCCTCGACAGGGCAGCCAAAAGCTCCCACCACACAGGGGTCAACAAAATAAACTTCTCTTTATTAAAAAAATTAAGTGAAAATCAACATGGTTTCAGAGAAAAACGGACCACCTCAATGGCAGTAATGGAGTTTGTGGAAGCAATCGCCACTAATATAGACAACAAATAATTCACTGTTGGGATTTTTCTAGATCTAAAAAAAGCTTTTGATACAATAGATCATAGTATATTATTGAATAAATTAGAGAGATATGGTATTAGAGGCATATCATATAAACGGATTGAAAGTTATTTAGAAAACAGATATCAGTATGTGCAGTTCAATAACAAAAAATCTAACCTACTGAAGATTACTCATGGAGTTCCTCAGGGATCAGTGCTTGGACCAAAACTATTCAT